CCCCCCCCCCCCCAGCACACCACACACCTCACGTGTGCAGAGAGCATCGAATGAAATACACCCCCATTCCACCCAGTGGATCGAACCTCACAAAACCACCCCAACCCAACTCCCCAGACCGCGCGATTCACCTATCTTGTGTGACTTGGTGCGAGACTGGACGCAAGCAGTACTCCCTCGTGGTGGTTCTCGTGGTGGTGCTCGTGGTGGTCCTCGTGATGCTGCTCGTCGTCCGTTTCTCTCTCAGTCGCTCTCTCCTTACTTGGGCGAACAGCATCCCTCCTTTGAAGCAGACCATCAGACAGGTGAAGACGATTGAAAGGACGTACAGGACGAGTGTACTGAGGTCCGACTGATCCACCGGCATGGACATAAAGGTGATGATGGCGATAGGTATCTCTCCCAGCGAGACGATGAAAGTGATGAGATGGAATGTCACGGACAATTCCATCAGAGGCCGCGCACGCCAGTGGGCATTGAGCGCAACGCAATCGCAGAGAGAGAGGACGAAGATGATGACGGATTGCCAGAGGAGCCCACGAGTGACAAGGTCAACACCGACGGCAAGATCGGGAGTCCAATCGAGCATCACGAGGAAAAACAGCAAGAGTTTGACTGATCTCTCCTGACAAGTAGGATGACATAAAATGCACACAGGCAGAGAAAGAGAGAGTCGCTGGTGATATAAACGAAGAAAGTCCGTGAGTGGCTTACCACTGCGATGGCGCTGACTTTGAAGGAGCACGACTGAGCGAGTCTTTGATACGCAATCGAGTCTGCATACCGAAGAGGTGAGAACTTTTTGGCGCGAATATGCTGAATGATATGCGGACGAGGAAGGCGACACCGGTCGGCCCGAGGAGAAGGGGGACTCGTTGGGACCTTGAATGACCTTGGGACAAAAACGATGAAAACGGTGCATCCTCCGCACCAAATGTTCCCGATGTACCACAGAAACGTGAACAGACCTATTCACAAGAGGTATACCCAGCCGATGCATGCCAGATTGGCTCATGTCCCTGTCCGTAAATAAATGTGTTGTTCCTTACGTCCGATTGGCGCAATGTATAGAGCGAAGCTGCCCAGTCCGACTGCGACGATGCAGGCGATATTGACAAGCACCATTTCAAGGACGCTGCGTGGAGGCTGGAAATGACCCACGATTTTCAACGTGAGGATGAATGTCGACCAGAGATATCGACAGACAATGTCGAACCACCAATAAACCAGTCTTTCGGGGCCGATGAGATCCGCGGTGACGACGCAATAAGCGTAGTTGAGCGCACCCGCGAGGACAATATCGATGAGGGAGTTGACGGGAGTGTCCCTTAGCCACTGAACAGAACAAAAGGGAGAACGAAGCAGGACATAGATCTCATCGTTTTCTTGTGTGACTGACCAGTTTTATCGGACCGCAGATCTCGATAGTCCAAGATCCCCATTCCTCAGGCAGAGTGCGGATCTCAACCAGCACACTGTCATCGGCAGCTTGGGTTGGTAAGCAAGGTGGAAGAGGCGCTCGCTGGGTGTCTTCCGTGATCCGACGACTTGAGCCGGTAGGTGTCAGCGAAAGGGGACTGTCGGCACTCGGACGATCCACGGGGATGGCCGACAGGGAGCGGGACGGACTGCCGGTGTACAAACTGCCACTGCCGCTATCACCTCGAGGCAGTTTCATCATCACTCGTGAGGAAGTCAGAGCAAACCCGTCTCCTAACCCTACGTCCCCGAAGGTCGCAGGGTTTCTCGGGTTTGGACCGTCCCGACCCATTACGGACAAATACTTTGGACGGTAAGAGCGTGCCACTCTCAGCAGGCTTCGCGAGTCCCGAATTAACCGACGTGTGTCATGGCGTGGGAGAGCAACGTGAAGCCGGGCTCATGTGAGCCCCTCGTGCCCTGGATGGATGGGGATGGGGTGCTGGAACTGAGCAAGTCAGCCGGCAACCTGATGCACCTGATCCCACCCGAGGATTGCACTGTGGGCCACCCGGTCATCACGCGGCCACGCTCCCCTGCCCGTGCTGTCTATGGATTTCCCAGCAAGCAACGCGGGCCTTTTGCGGCACCCAAAGAGGAGACTGCAGCTCGTGGCGTCTACGGCTTCACTAGGAAGCAGAGGGGCCCGTGTGTCGAGGTGCAGACTCTGCCATCGACGCTCGTCACCTATGGGTTCCTGAGCAAGCGGCGGGTGGATGTGCCTGGGGCGGCTGTCCACCCGGGCCAGTACTCGGGATGGCACTGGCTGCATGCCGTGAGCTGCAGCCTGCAAATCCGATAAAGAGATTTTCTATATTGCCTCTGCCTCTTCTGTGTGTGTCTCCAGGTGACATCCAAGGGCGTGAAGCTCCGGTCCAAGTCTGCAGACCCCCGCGGCCGCCGCAAGTTCGCCCCTCCCCACCGGCCGCCCCTCTACCCCATTGCAGGGGGCCAGCAATGGGAGGACCCCCGCTTCATGATGGGATCGGTCAAGCCCAAGAAAATGATCGACGCAGAGCTGCCCGTGGTGTACAAGGGTGCGTATGGGCAGCAGAATGAGAGGGCAAGGCTGCGGACTCCCGGCAAGGCGAGGGTGAGGCCCAGTGTCTCACAGCCGCCGCCTTGGAAGCCATACGACCCCAGTGAGTGTCATAGATAGCCTAGAGGAAAGAATGGGGAAAGAAATGCTCTCTGTGTGTGTGTTGGTGTGCTTGTGTGTTGACGTCCTTCGTGTAGGGGCGAAGGTGGTGATTCCTACCCGTGGGTCGTCTCCCTTTCATCGATTCGACTCAACCGACGGTCTCAGACGAAAGGGATCAGGTAGGAGGATATCATCCATTCCGCGATTGCACAGGGCTAGACGATCGGATGTTGTTTGCCCAGGTCTGTCTCAGACGGAGCACGAGGGCATCATCGGCGGGAAGTGAGCAAGAACAGCTACCCCCACACAGACACACATGGATCTTTATCGGCTGTGTCTCCCCTTTGTTTGTTCCTTTGTTTGTTTGTTTGTTTGTTTGCACTGCCAGTCTGAAGAATGTCTCCACAGATATGGTAGGCAATAATGCAACACCTGGTCGCCTGTGCACATCATCTCATCATTTGTGGGCCCATCCATCCATCCATCCCTGGCTGCAGCAAAGGGTGCTCCAGATGCGTCGGTCCGCCTCGGAGCTCTTCTCACCAATGCACAGATTCGACCCCGAGTACCAACTCAGACGAGCGGCATCAGGTATGCAGACACCCCAGGTGCACAGAATCCATGCCCCAGAAAGGAGAGACATGCGCATGATCTATCCACCCATCAATCAGGTGGGTTTGAGGGTGGCGAGGAGGGCGGCGAAGAGGGCGGTGAGAGTGAGCTGCCTCCGCGGAGGCCACTCAGGCCACCTATGGCGCCCGTCATACAGCACCGGTGTGCCAATGGACGGGAGGAGCGACAGACAGACAGACAGATAGAAAGACAGGGAGAGAGAGAGAGAGAGAGATCCACCCACTTACGCTGCTGTTTATGCGGTTGATTGCAATATGTGCAGGGAGCTGTCCAGCGGCGGTGTGGCCGCGTGTATCTCGCCACACCCATATGTGAGTGCATCAGCCAGCCCCGATCACGCACACACACCCCAAGACAGAGACACCGACAAGAGCTTTTACCTTGCGTGTCTGCGTGTTGTAGGAGCGTCCCGTGCTCACAAGGCAGGACTCGCCCGAGAGGTTCCGGTTCGAGCAGAATGACGCCAAGCCGCGGAAGGGGCTCGGTGAGTGAGCTGACCAGACCTACTAGACCTGCCTGAGCTCTGCCCACCACATGGTGCCATGTGTGGGGGGGATGGGATGGGATGGAATGCAGGCATCCCCCCGGTTGAGTACGGTGACGTCATCGTCTTCCGGACGGAAGCAAGACACACATTCGAAAAACTCGAGGTCAGAACTTAGTCGAATGGAGGAAGGAGCGCCAGCTCAACACACTGGCTCCTTGTCTGCTTGTGTCTTTCTCTCCATCTCTCCTGCGTCCGTGTATTTTCAGCTTCCGCAAGAGGGCAGTTTGCGGCTGCCATTGGACACCAAGGGGCGGCCGAGGCGGCACCCATACTTCGAGCACCGATACAGCTCCCCAGCCACTCTGGGCCTACTCAAGAAAGGGCCAGGCAAGTCCACCACTCCCTCTCTGCTCATGCATGTGTGCATGTTTCTGTGTGAGTGTGTCTGTGTGCAGGGTACCCCCACCCAGACCACTATGACCTCCTGCACTGGCGCGTGCCCGAGCTGCCGCCCCCTGGGGCGCTCACACTGCCCTCGGCAAACCATACCGATTCCCCATTGGCAAGGGCTAGGAGACGCAAGAGAAACGGCAGAAACGGGAATGGAAACGGCAATAACAACAACCACCACAACCATAACCACAACCACAACAACGGCAATGGCAATGGCAATGGCACCAACTGAGCCGCAAGAGCAGGTGTGCGAAAGGTCGACAGACACCATGTACGTGGTTTGGGAATGTGGGCTCGTGTGTGTGTGTGTGTGTGTCTATACAGGTGGCTGATTAGGTCGGTAAGTGATTATTGGCGTGTTTGTTTGGGGGATAAGAGTATGACGAAGGAAGTGGGCAGGTTTGGAGTGTGTCGTCGTCTGTGTGGCGTGGATGTGTGTCTGGCTGGCTGATAGACCCAAGGACGACTGACAAGTGGTGCAATCGATGACTGGTAAAGGGGTGATGAATGCATTCACACCAGTACTTAAACCTCATGATGCATGGATCCAGTCAGTCAGTCAGTCAGCCACAACTCAGAGTCACTCGGACGGCGCGCGAATGCACCCACAACACACGTACGGCCTCATAAACGTCCGTCAAACCGCTCGCTCATCCCTCGACAGTGATGGCGTAGTCAATGTACTCCTCCATCGTCACTGCACACCACGCGCACACACCCGAGCACACACACGTGTCAGTAACATCCAAACACGTCCCCTCAGCAGCTCACCGGTGCCCGAGTCGTCCTGGTCGACATCAAAGAAGAACTGGTAGAGCTCACGAGGGTGGATATCATTCTTGAACGCTATCCGGATCTCTTGCGCATCGATGTGACCTGCATCACACCCATCACCACCCACCACCAACCCAGTCGCAGTGGTGTGAGGCGAGTTCTTCGGCTGCGTACCATCAGCGTTGAGGTCAAAGTCGATGAAGTCCTTTTTGTACTCCTCGAGCTCGTCAGAGCTCAGCTCCCGACCCACTGAGTCCTTCTTGCCACTGCCGTCGCTCTGCCCCGACGCGATGGAGGTGCCGAGCAGCAACACACACACAGTCACCAGCAGCCTTCTCAGAACAAGCATCCTGCCAAAACGCTGCTGAACCAAGCCACTGACTGCTTCAGGCAAACCAGGCGCAGCACTGAAGCGAGTATCGAGACAGACGGATCTGTGCCGATGACGAGAGGTGCGAGTCAGGGAGTCAGGCGCTGTCAGGCAAGCGGTAGATGAAGCTGGAATGGCGTCCGCATCCGAAATCGCAGTGGCTAAGCTCGCAGATGCCAAGCTAGGCAGGCCGCTTAGGACATTTCGTGAAACCGCTCCTCCCAAGCTAGGCGAGAAAAGTGCCGTAGAGGAGAGACCGTGTTTTGTGCCGATCTGGTCATCTGAGCATCAGGACGGTGAGGCAAACGAAGATCCGAAAGCACAAGCTTGTTGCATCCTCTGTCGATATTTTTTCCTTGCAGCATCGTCTGTGAGCCTCCGTCTGTCTGATCAGCAGCTGCGCAAACGGTGCCTCGCAAGAGGTGAGCCTACTCAGTGGCAGCTACGCACCAGCACATGTACGCATCCATCTGAATGAATACTTCCAATCGCAGACCGATGGCGCGAATCTTTTTCCTGTTCTTCGCACTCACCTGGTCTGCCGTGATTGGCGGTGGTGATCTCAGCCGCCGGCGCGCCCCCGCCCTTATTCCAAGAGCCATGCCGAGAAATCTGGAGATGGCCCGTGTGCGGCATGGCACCATGCCCGTGCCGTTGGCGACTCCCTCCTGGTCGCTACACGCGACCTGCTGACGTCGTCTGTCTTGAGCGGATCTCTGCGGGCAGGTTCTCTTGCCACTGCTGAATCGCCATTAGTTCTTCGTCTGTCAGAAGCTTGCGCCACGTCCCCCAGCTCATCGACCCGCAGATAATCTCCTGCACACACACACACACACACACACAGGGGGGTCATTAGTCGGTGGGCAGGTCGCTGTTTCTCTCTCCGGCTGTCTGTGTGTGTGGCCGTCTGTGTGTCTGGCTGCCAGTGTGTGTGGCTGTCTGGTTTACCATCGCACAGCAGAAGTCGTCTTGGGGCATGCTGAGACATATCGACGTTGGCGGGCCGACATACGAGCCCATCGAGTTGTGCTCAGCTGATAGATGTAACACACACACACACACACACACACACATTCACAGAGAGAGAGAGAGAGAGAGAGGGCAGAGAAGACTGACACGCTTGACGATGCGCGCGAGTTGAACCAATCCCCCCCCCACACAGATACCTACGTTTGCTGATCTCGTCCACCAGGCCCTTGTAGAACTCGGCGAAGGTTCGTTCATCTTTGCAGCATCTATTGTAGGCATCGAACATCACACGCAGCTTGCGATCCACCAGCTGCCAGCACACACGCACCGCACCGCACCGCACCGCACCAACCGATCGATCCCCTCACTCACTGAGTGTCTTTCTTTCTCTCTCTCTGTTTTCTCACACCCACCCGATCAAGGGGCCGCGTCTCGACTATCTCCCCCAACGCCTCAACCTGCTGGTGCATGTGGTAGTCACACGTGCGCCTGACAAACACACACACACACACACAGAGAGAGAGAGAGAGAGCCATGTGCACTCCCTGTCGACGGCTGTCATGCAGCATACACACATACTGGTAAGTCCAGCCCTTCTCAAAGCCGCTGTTGAAGAGTGCCTGGCCGGCGAAGTTTTCGAAAATGGTCACAGGGACGAACTTGCGGTTCTCGCTAAGCCACTTGTAGATGAAGGTGTCCAGGATCTCATCCTTGTGCAGAATCAGGTTCTGGTAAGACGTCACCCCCTGGCCACGCTCCTCGGATATAAATCGGTCGACCGATGTTGCAGACGTCCCCCCCTGGTCACCCTCCTCGGATATCCATCGGTTGACCGATATTGCTGTCTCTCCTGTCTTCCGGCTGATGTCCTTCTTGAGACGCTCGAGGGGGCGACGCAGCGCGTTGGACACGCGAGCCATGACATGTGGCCGCACATCGGTGGTTGGTGGGTGTGCGAGAGGGCGGGAGTGGCGAGGCGACGGTCTGACGATGCTGCGAGAAGGGCGGAAGGCGAGAACCGTCAGTGGAAACACCAGCAGCAGGAGGCTGCCAACAGCAGCCTGGATGCTGTTCAACAAGATCTTCATCCAGGCGCAGATGCCAAGCTCACAGAGGCAGCTCGAAGCTCCGTCGGTCAATCACTTCGACTGCCTCTTATCACTGAGATCTCTGAGCGACGAGGCACTCAGGCGAGGTACACGGCTGTCTGCATGAGCCCCTCGGCACACTACGTACGTACATACATACATACAGACCATGAATGAGAACGAACTCAGACACGACCGCCCAATCCACAACTAACCGAGAAAGCCACGACAGTGACAGACAGCCACGCACAGACATTCGCAGGCATACATACGCTCACTCAGGCACGAACGACTGACTCTCCACACGGCAACGGACAGATCCAGTACGGATATTCTTCATATATGATGGGATAATGTAAAAGAATATCTCACTATTCGCCCCGGCTTCCTCCTCGCAGCTTCCACACTCACAACGTACGGTTGCCGTGTCGCCGGGTGTGTCAAACGACGCCCTGTATCGGCGAACCCGCCAACACGAACCTGAGTGTAAAACTCAGGGGGGCGCGCTGACGGATCTTCGTGATCTGAAAAAAGAGTGGGCGGGAGGGAGGGACGCGAAAGAAAGGACGGACACCAGACGACTCTGTCTGTGTCCTCGCACCGATCAATCAGTGCAGATACGTTTCACACCGATCAATCAGTGCAGATACGTTACACGACTCAACGACGACGCTGCTCGGTCGCCGGGCGAAACTTCCTGCTGCGGACTTGACAGTCCTCCGCAGTCCGCTTCGCCCCGGCTTCCTCCTCGCAGCTTCCACACTCACAACGTACGGTTGCCGTGTCGCCGGGTGTGTCAAACGACGCCCTGTATCGGCGAACCCGCCAACCGCCAACGTGCCACGGGCGACGAAGGGAGCCACCAGGCAAGAAAGAGAGACACCACCAGCGGATGGCGAGAGACAACCGCTTGAGAGACAGAGGCCAAGGCCCAGAGGCCGAAAGCCGAGGAACCGAGAGAGAGAGGGGAGGAGGAGGAGCGAGAGAAAAGGAGGACGGGGAGAGAGATGGGAATCGACACATGGACGTAATTCGACCAACTGTCAGAAATTGAGTTTTGTAAGCATGTCACGAATCGCTGTGACAGAGCGTTGCGCATATAACCGCCACACGGCGGCAGAGTGAGCCCATCCCCCAATGTAACAAATCATATCATCTGGGACGCCGTTATCCATAGCCCATTGAGCCCCGCCTTTCCTGAGAGAGTGCGAAGTGGCTTTGACGGAAGGATCGATGACGAGGACGGCGCGTTTCAATGCAGCACGCCACGCATCATACGACAGTGTGTTGCCGGACCAGCGACTACCCATGGTTGACTGGAAAAGGGGGGCATTAGTGGACTGTGGTGCGAGTAGCATGAATTGATCGAGAAGAAAAGTGACGCGAGGACAAAGAGGAGACGAGTGCGGGAGGGGAACGACTTGGCCCTTGCCATATGGGTCGTTCTTCTGCCTGTCGACCACAATCTTGTAGCCGTCGCTGTCTCGCACCAGATGATTGCGCTGAAGACTCAACACCTCCCGAGACCGACGCATTGCAAAAAACTGCAGACAGGCAATAGCCGCATTCCGCAGGCCGTCATACGTCCTCTTAGACGTCCAATAACGAAGCAACTCGGTGAAGACCTTCGCTGGGACCGGCAAACTGTGATGGGATGTATTGTCGCATTGTTTGCGAAGGCCCGTGAGCAAGAGCTTGACGAGTGGCTCGTTGAATGGCGGAGGGGGGAGGTTTCTGACTCTGTGAAAACAGCTGACAGCCGACATGATGCCAGAGACACGAGACCAACTCAAAGTCTTGTTCGCTGGAAGAGACATCTTGAGGTTGGTGAAGGCGACCAGGACTTTAGCGGGAGAGTCGAGGGGGAGGAGGACATCGGGGACATGTTTGATGGACGAGCTGTATTTGTTGAGGGTCGATTCGGCGTAAGCCGAAGAGAAGATGCTGCGGATTTGATTTGTGAGGGACGAGATAGAGGGGAGGGAGGTCGACGGAGGAACCACTGAGAGAACAGAGCACGGGCACGCGATTTCGAACGTGAAAGCTTGATAATGAGAGGCAACGCGCATCACCCCCGAGCCACCACAAGTGGGACACGTGCTGAGGCAAAGAGACATCAAAAAACAAACAACCAGAGGTCCCATGGTAACTCTTGTTTGATCGTCCATCGATTCACACACGGCAGCCACATATCGAGAATACGAGAGCCTGCACGCCACTGGCGGCGAGGCTTGAGTTTGAGAAAGAACTGGTGAGTGTTTGGAGGGAAAGGGAAGGGGGTGAGAATGAAGATACGCTGAGAAGTGTGAAGACGAAGAGCCTGAACGAAGTCGAGCATGTCCCTCGCCACACGCGGATGAAAGAGAGAGACAATCAGGGGGGACGGGATATCGCTGATGGGGCACGAGGGACGGAAAGAGACGTGACGAATCTTGAGACTCTCCCAACTGGGATCGACAAGACCAAAGTGAGCCGCGAAGCGCACGTGAAAATCGCGAGCGATTGATTGCAGAGAGCGTGGGTTGAGACGAAACAAACAGTCGGATCCCACTTTATGGCCACGAGATAAGGCATCCGCCGCAATGTTGTCGGTACCCGAGATGTGAAGAGCGAGAAGCTCCACTTGGAACTTGCCGAGTAGGTTGAAGAGCTCGAAAAGAGTGCGCATGATGCCCTTGAATGCCGAATGTCTCTTGTTGATCCATGCCGTAACTGCTGTGCTGTCTGTACGGAGAAGGATACGACGCCCATACCATTGTTGAGCCCAACGCTGAGCAGCGAAAACGAAGGACATCAACTCGCGCCAGTTGATTGAAGGTGGGGACCGACGCAGTGCGGACTTGAACCAACGGCCATGCAACGACTGATGACCCCAAACCGCACCCCAGCCGGAGTCCGAAGCATCGGTAAAAACGACAATGACTTCCGAAGAAGAGGTAGCCACGACTGGGTCCGCCGACCGCAGGTCAGGTGGAAAGAGACGCAGGGGATCTGCTTTTGGTTCCCAGATGTACAGAGTGCCATCCGGTGCCTCATGTAGCTTCCGCTCGGGCCGTGTTGACAACTTTCGACGCCACCAACGGAGATCTCTCCAGATAGAGTCTTCTCGAGGGAGGGGAACGGTGGTCGTGTCGTCTGATCCTTTGGAGGGCGACTGCCACTTGAGACGCGCCTGATGAAAGGCTGCGAAAGACCACGCGGCGCGTAGACGGGCTGGGCTGAAGGGAACGATGTCTGCAATATGACAACAAGAGCCCATGAGTTTGAGTAGCTTCTGGAAGTTGACATGGCCGACGGTAGCACACTCGAGGATGTCGTCGAGCAGAGACACGATTTTCTGCCTTTTTTTCTCTGTAATCGAGAGCATTAGCGTGAGCGTGTTAATGAGGAAACCGACAAACGATACGAGCTGATCTGGCCCTTTGGCTTTGTCTGAGGCCTCTTCCCAACCGGGTCGAGAGAGAGCGGTCTGAATGAGGGCCTTTGCTTGCGAGACATCGGCGAGAGAAGGACCGCAGGTGTACCAGTCATCGAGATAGACAATGACCGATCGAAGGCCCCGCTGAAACAGCCAACGCTGTAAGAAGAACATGCAACGAACGAAAATCCACGGCAAAGTGGACACGCAGAAGGGGGCAAAACGATAACGAAAATACTTCTGAGAGACAGGATGACGAAAGCCAAGAAGATCACATTCGTCAGGCCGCACTGGCAAGTGCAAGTAACCGTCACGAAGGTCGAGTTTGGCTTGATAGAAGCCTCGTTTGAGCATTCGTAATGCGTCGTAGATAGAGGGGAGAGACATGGGGGGGACGAATAAACATGCATTCACCCCCGAGATGGTCAGGTCCATAATGATGCGGATCTTCCCGTTTGCTTTGCGGACGGCTCCCAGTGGGCTGACCACATGAGGGCGATGTGCACATTCTTCGATCCAGCCTTTTTCTGCAAGACGATCGAGTTCCCTCCCAACTTCAGGACGAACCGCGTCCACCGACTTGTAATTTCGTCGCTCGAAAGCCTCGACTTGGCGAACAACCAAAAGAGAGATCCCCTCGTCCCAAGCACGACAGACGGCCGGAAGAATACCCATTTGACTCGCTGTTGAACCCGAGAGACGGCGCCCATTGCGCCAAGGGAGAGAGGGGTTGTTTGAAGGAAGAGTGACAGTCGAGAAGCCGAGGCCTTCGCGGAACAGCGGGGGCAGATCCTCGAGCGTGAGAATACGACGAGACACGTCGATGGGAAGAGAGGACTGATCAGAGGACACTTCCATGGGAGGCGTCGCGAGAGGAGAGGGTGAGGGGGGTGAGGCAACGTGAGGCGTGAACACAAACCGCCTGACAGGACTCACACTTGAGACACACAAGGACAGAGAGCTGGAGAACAGGAAGAGGAGAAAGTGAGAATGAGAGAGAGGAAACAATAAACAAACATCACACACCAACCAAAGCGAGCGAGAGACATCAGTTGAGCAGCTGAGTGTTGTCGAGCGAGGTGAGAGAGGTGAGTGAACACATAAGTAAGTAAGTGAGGTAGAGATCGAAGGGTGAGACAGTGAGCGAGAACGACCACATCGACTGAAGGGGAAACCATCCCCGAGTGACTGAGTAGAGAAAGGGAAACCATCCCTGAGTGAGCGAGTAGAGGAACCTCCCCGAGCGACTGAAGAGAGAGTGGGGCGAGTCAGGATTTGTTTAATAGGGGAGAGACGGGATGGAAGAGCATTTAAGGAGCCCTCAAGAAGAGTCTCATGATGGAATCAAGCGAGAGACAGACTACGGAGGGAGGTGTGAGAGGGGAGGGAGGTTGTAGGAAACACGCACCGAATTGCAGTGATCAGGATGCATCCAGTGCAGCTGCGCGGGTCGTCCAGTTTTCTTGCATGCCAGGCACTCGATGCGGCAGGGGTTTTTGAGCACGTCTCGGCAGTAGTTGAAGTCGTGCATCGCCTCAACGCCACCGACTTTGCAGTTGAGACAAGGACCGTCGTACTTTTTGGCGGCCTTGAGTGCGGGAGACGGACTTGGAGTCGAGGTGATGGAGCGTTTGACCGCCACCGGCGACACTGACGGGAGAACTCAGAAGAAGAGCAAACAGTGACATAAACAAAAAAGAGAAGCGAGCCAAGCTCGCTGAGGATGAGAAGGGCACGAAGGCCCGAGAAGGCGAACAGCCCAACAGTTGAGGCCCGAACGGGTTGAGTAACGGGAGACACAGAGAGAACAGCCCACGAAAGAGAGTGTGTGTGTGTCTCGTACCGGTCTTGTTTGAGGGCTTTCTCCAATCCCGCTACTGTGTCTGCCAACTTCACGCCGCTCTTGTCCTTGTATTCCAGCATGTGCAGCTGGTAGGGGCGGGAGATTTGTGGAGGGGCGGCGGCTGTTCGCTCGTCGTGCTGTAGAAACGCCAAGATGCTCTCCTTCCCCGTGTGGACCCCCTGATGACGGCACTTGTCGTGGTTGATCTCTTGTAAGAGACGGTGCAGGTTGAGAGCCGTCTGCTTGTCTTGGGGGTCTGCGGACGCGCTGAGGTCGTTCCAGCCGTTGTGAATCGACGTCTCCAGTGCAGTGCTGTCGATCTTCTTCGCCTCAGCCCAGTTGATCCGGTGCACCTCTTGCGAGGAGAAGTCGATGTCCTTGTTTGGGTCCTTGGGGCAAATGCGGGAGAGGTGACGGCGGATCACGAGGGACTCTCTCGCTTTGAGGTACGCGCTGACGCGGCGGCCCTCAATCGACATCTCCAACTCTTCGAAACGTGTCTGGAGGTCCCGCAAGGCGTGGGCGAAGGCGGCGACCTCTTGCTCGCGTGATGCAACCAAGTCATTGCAATGATGGATGACTTTGGACGTGTCGTCCCGCATCTGGCGGCGGAAGTCCCACAGTTCCTTCTTGGTGACAGGAAGGTCAGCCGTCTCCTCGGCGGGAGGGTCTTCAAGCGGGGGAAGGAACTCGACATACGGTGCGGCTCCTTGGGCTGCGTCGCCCATGACATTGGCGGCAGCATTCAGGGGTGTGCGAAAAGGCCGGTGAGGACCTTTCCTGTAGTTAGCTGAATAGAGGATCTGCTGGGCGGTAAGTCCCAGAGTAAGAGTGCTTTTACTTTAATAAGACCGATGGACTGGCCAGTCAGTCAAAGTTGTTTCTGTCCATGTATGACATCATGAAGGGTGATCAACACAGATCTCACTTCGGTGATGGCTGATAAGATCGTGTCTCCTCAGAATGCTTTCC